GTCCGAACACCTCTCTAATCCTCTAATGTGAATGCTTTTTACGGTCCCATTTTGTTAATCTGCCAAAAACTTCCATGTTAAAAAACCTTGAAATGTGAACTGGTCCAGCTGACCGGTTCTCAGTTGTGTTTGGAATAGACATGTTTTACTGTTCATGTGTAACAACGTTTGTATAGATGTATCGATCACTTATATTTGTGTGTATATAAGTAAAATCCAGAAATAAATACCTGATTTTTGGTCAGTGACCACGTAAACTCTGGAAGAGCATATTTCTGAAAAAGATGAAAATAGGTACTATTAAAACAACCACCAGAGACATCCAAATCCAATAAAAAGTCTTCATAGATAAATTCAAAACTAGATGACAGACCTGAACGGTTGAGAGGACTGCGACCAAGTTAGTGAAGATGTCTATCCGAGCCAAGGTCATTACATGGTCTGTATTTTCTATCAACCTGTTTACAATATAAATAAACATTTTCCAAAGGAAAACTTGTATTTTGAATGCAAGAATCAAACTATTTACAAATGAATATTTTGACTAGTGTTAGCATGGCCAGTGCTTGTTCGAATCTATTATTGATGGTTGTTCCGCTTCTTCAAATCTCAAAAAGTAGGACAGGTGCATATTTCCGATAGTCTAGGTAGGTATCTGGTTGCCTTTTCCGGGTGCCTTCTTATTGAAACAACACTTTTTCTTATTATCGAGAAGTGATTGGCACTGACAGATTTTTCAAAACAATGTTTAAAGCTTATTAGGTGATTATTTATCTCATGACTATATTACCTTTTCTACAGTATAATGTTTCATAAAGATATATTTCGGAGCAAAAACGGAAATGCTGTCTCCAGTCCACATTTATGATAGAGTCACTTGGCAGTAGGACGACACAACCAAATCTTCGTGAATCATTAATAAGAAATGAAGAAATCTCAAGTTAGCCTAATTTTGTAAATATTGACTATGTTGTGAACATTTGGTTTTAGGCCTTAGATCAGAGATAGGCCCTGCTTGGGACTGTATATATGCCGATTTTATATCACTACAGTAACAGAATATTGACAACAATGTATAAATGAACTCCATCAGAAGTTCGTTACATCCTTACCATAGATAATTTTGACCAGCTAGATCCCCAAACCATGAGGTTGGCTCATCTGGGAAGAAGTTAGCGTCACTAGTAGCCTGTATGATGATCTTGGGCATCGTCAATCTATTCCGATAACCTTCAAAAACGTGATACAAAGTGCAACTCACTACTTTAAATCGATGCTGTAATTTTCGCTGGTATAACTGATTTGACATTCAGAGAAATGCAAAGCATTAAGGATCAAGTCTGCCAAAAATTAGACCAGACCTCAATTTACCGAGTTGCTGAATAGCCTTTCTCTTAGTATTCTAAATTTACTCACTATAAGGGTCTACTATGTCTTCTATTCTATTGATAATCGCATCATTCATATGATGTGTGATATTTTGACTCCAACAGTCCTTCCAAAGTTCCAAGCGTGCGACCAACCACCCAATGACAGGTAAGTAAATAAAACGAATTGGAGAAGAAGAGCATTAATCTTACATTTGTTCATACACATTTTTTAGAAAATGTTTATGTAGTGTGTGTAATGTAGTCGACTCACCTGTTGAAATTTAAGGTGACTGTATACAATTGAGACCATTGCTACAACACGCCTGTCAACGCTTGCTACATTCCAAACAGTCCAGCCCCTCTGCAAATTAAATAGTCTGATAATACTCATGTACATCAACCAACAAGCGCAGCAATGTTCTATACACAATAAGATTAGATACGAATGTTCTTCTAATGTATATCAACAATATCAAATAGTCTTCTAATTTACATGCATTCTATTCCTGGAATTCTATCTACCTTTGAAGCTCCAACAGGAATGAATTTGTTGATTTCAAACCTCGTCCTTATCTGTTTGGCGAAGGCTAATATGGTGTCAAAAGCCCTTACAACCGCCTACAATTTGTACAATTCGTCATTATTGAAATATGACATAATATAAGTACCGGTAAGTAGCCTGTTGCCACTGCCTTTTACACTTAATTCTCATATTTAACATAGTTTCAATAAAAACAATATTGTCATTAATTAACTCTTATTTAATAATCAGTATGACATTCAGTATAATCGCAATATTGGACATCTCCGGGTCCACTGATGAGTAAACCCAACCAAAGCACAAACTACTGAAATTGAAAAATAGCAGACCAAACCTTCAAATCAGATCGAATGGTCCAGCTGGCGAGTTATACCATATTTTATTGCATTTGAGAAAAATACCTACCTTTGTCATAGGGTTCATGAGTAGAATTTCAGGGTCAGTTCCATTGTTATCAATGTAATGTCTCAACTGTTGGATCAACCTGTATTTTAATACATCACTGCTTATATCAGTGCATGTTCACAAAAGTGTCACACATGTTGGATCATATTGAACCATCTACGATTGAAAGAAACGAGTGTGAGACGATGTTATAAAAGCAAATTAACAAACATTTACCACGATTGATCGCAGTCAAAAAGAGATTGCATGCCCAACTTACTGATTTTGGAAGGTACATAGGTTGGTTTGGTATCTGTTTAATGTAGGCTGCTACACTTGTTGTTTCAACAGCAAACAAAGCAGCAGCCATCACAAACACATCATCATCTGGTGTAGGAGGGCTATTACAACAAGGCAAGAATGCACGAATGAATTATCATTATGATATGCTTACACTTATCAATATAAAATGAGTTATGGTTATGAGTTAAATGAGCTATGGCCACATTGTTATGACAAATTAACATTATATATCATCTTTGCCTCTGACCACGACTATAACCTTCAATTTAACTTACACATCAGGAATTCTGTTTGCACCTCCATCTATCCATAATAGAGTGGCGTGTTCATATTCAGTGACATTGTCAGGAATTGCAATAGTTAGATGGTGGAACCAAATAGGTCTGCTACTGAATGTTTCTTTCAAGGAACAAGGAAAGAAGTCCTATTTAGGATGTAGTTAAGTCCCGATGACCATATTCCCCAAACATTAGAGCGAGTTCGCTCATAAGTGATCGAAAGTATAACTTATGTTTATGCATATACCAATTTACGTTATAAGCATAAGTGAATTGATTTTTTTATTCGCAACAAAGAATATTTTTTCGTGTTGATTATAATACACATGTTACACATAACATAAGGGATTTACAAACACGTTATACGTGAGTTAGGAAATCTCTCTCTAGAATTAGAAATGTTGTGCCGTTCTACTGTGCGGATTTTACGTCGAGGGAGTTTGGACGTGAGCCTCAGTTTGGACACACTCAAGAGGCCCCCACTTCATAGACTGTAGTAGAAAGATCAATAAGTTTGAATTCAAGTGGCCTTGATTTATATATTGAAACAATTAATTCACCATCTTTCCAGGACTGCGATGTCATGTTGATGATGTACACTGTGCAGTCTTCATTATCATCCAGGTTTGCATCTACTCGATATGTCTGAAGCAGGCTCCATGTATATGTGTCATCTGGCCTGTTTACGTATTCGTCAAGAGGCGACCATTCTGACCACTGATAGCATCAAGAATGAAAATGGTTTTAAATCAGAGATACAAAGTAACAAATAACACATATACGTTGTATTAGGATGATTATTGATTGATGTTTTCATAGGATTCGATGTTTTGTTCCCCACTAAAATTATCAAGTTGTGTGGAAATGTTCACGTCAAATCAATTTTATATCACCCTGTAGACTACTGGGCGTTTATGTCGAAGACGAACGTTAAATTACCTCCCAGGTTGCAACTGAGTCTACTCAACTGCTACTGCGACAACGATACCCACGTACAAGTTTAGCACACAGCTCTGTAAAACGGACATCATAAAATCAAAATTATATTCATAGGCAGGTAACTCAATCAATCTCTAAGTCTGAAGTAGTGGGTTTGTTTTTCAGTATGATTAATTCATGTGATAAAGATGTCAGGGCTAGATAAGACGCTTGATATGACTTTTTACGTTGTGTTGAGTTTTATTTGGATTTGAAATATATTTGGATGGGAATATTATGACATTTGAATAAGATTGACCTCTAAATGTGACCTTAAATGTATGTGACTTGAATTCAGTATAAGCTTTTATTCCATAATAACATGTTTTCCCTGGGAAAATAACAGGGAATAAAAGTGTTATTTGAAAAATCCCGTATCAGATCCCGTATCAGCCAAAATCCCGTATCAGATCCCGTATTGGATCCCGTATCAGCAAAAATCCCGTATCAGATCCCGTATCAGAAATATTCCCGGTAATTTCTCTGGAGTTTTACGCTTTTCGTCTAGCACATCTCTACAGGAAGTAAAAAATCGTTTGGAAAATTGAAATTATTGAAATTATTATCATCTAGTTTACGTCTATTACTGTGACAAAGGTCTATTACTGTGACAAATATTAAATATTAAAATATTATGAAATAAATAGGTTATTGATGGTCGTGATGGAATATGGATTTATTCCTTGAGAAAATATGATATTGGCCTCAGAAAATATCATATTGACACTCGGGCTATCGCCCTCGGTCAATATGACATTTTCCTTGGCCAATATCATATTTTCCCTCGGAATAAAATCCATATTCCATCCCTCCCATTAAATAACCTCTATTTATTATAGAAATGCCATATATCAGTATATTGATCGTTGACGCAACCTTGACTTTTAAGCATGACTTTGCCGTATCAAATTGCCTTGAAAAAACAATTTCATATTTGACATATAAGTTGACCTTGACACTGACCTATGATCTTGACCTACAGTCACCTACGTAGACCTTCAAAGGACACTTAAATTGTAAATATTTGAAATACCCATATTTTGATTAACCTTGTACTAATGTACTAATAATTTTGACCCATTATTAACTGTATCAGTTTTTATAGTACAGCCACTTTATAGGAAACGTTTCATTAGGGAAACAATTTAGAGGATAAAATGACGTAACATAATTTAATTTGGAGCTTGTATAGCTGGCAAAATTGTATTGTAAAACTGGTAATGTACAAACAAGTGTCGCATGGGGAGCAATGAACCAATGATTGTATTTTAAAATAAACTACAAGAGGGGCCTCGGAGAATTGCAAAGTACATCGCAGAAAATATGAGCTCATCTTCAATTCCCAAGGCCCAAACGATGAGTATTAAAATGATTGCATTCAACACTTAAAAACCCATGCTAATAAGTACAAGTTTCTAGCAGTGTGAAAACAAGAAATTGTTTCGTGGTGTTTCCGTGAAGTTTTACACTTGGGGATAGTTTATGAATGGATGAGCTACATGTACCATTCCGAAAATACAATTTTTCGTTAAACCAACAAATGGAATCATCTGAATCATATTTATCAAAATTAACACACTCAGCAATTTCATGCACTACATATATACGATAGGATATAAATTTGGGGTTGTTTTCATATCATTTTTGGGTAGTAACAATAACGATGACGGCAGTTTCCGTAACATTCTCAAAATTCCCCAAATTTTGCCCGTTCAGTCAAATTTAGTCTCGATATCGCTTCCTCTTTGAGTTTGATTCTTGTATACAGTCTATTTATTATTGGAAGGCGTGTAACTTAAGAAAATGTCAAACAACTAGGCCAACATTGCTTCAGTTAGAGCAAATCAAGCTGTCATTGGCGTAGTAACTGTCATTCATTTGAGATTCCCGCCTTCTCTTCCATCACGCGTTTAACTCTATGTATAGCATCAATGTGGTAGGTTATGACTCCCTCAGAGGCATAAGGGAACAACTTCGATACACGAAAGTGAGTTTCTTCCCTGAATATAGCACCTGTCCCATCACTTGTATCACTACAGTGGTAGAACAGAACCCCTGGAATAATGACAACAGGTTCGTGGTAAAAATAGGTTGCTTTGGCGAAATACATTACCTATGTTAGAAAATATAGCATTCTGATCTATCAAACATAATTATCTTCAACATACTACCAGAGAGCTACGTTTGGGGAAAGACTCGTAGGGTATGTGTATAAGCTACCATATCAGGCCCATAGCCAGGATTTGCCAAGGGGGGGGGGGTCAATTTTTTAAAAAATTTCCAGGGGGGTTCACATTTGACAATTTTGGCCCAAATTAGGCTAAAATCACTTGAGAAGTGCTCAAAATGGTCAAAACTGCATGATTTTGAAAGAATTTTTGGCGAACTCCCCCCACTGGCTACGGGCCTGCCATATTGCTGATCTATCAAACCCTTTCACTTCCACTACTACTACCAGAGCCAATTATGTTGATCTCCCAAGTAACAAACAGAATATGCGCTCTGCAAACGTTTGTCAAGTATTTGAGAATGTCATGCAGGAATAATTGGTGTGGTAATGTAACAAATGTCAAGAACATGACTAAACAACTATTTAGAGTGTTACAGAATATGCTAAAGAAACAAGTGTTACAGATTATAATGCTTAAGTAACACTGGTAACAAGTGTTACAGAATATGCAAAACTAATAAGTGTTACGGAATATGCATGCAGAATATGACAAATCATTGTGAAGACGATTTTTAAATTATCCATAATTTGATACATTATTTCATCCTCGAAAAAACATTCATTGATGAATGAAATTTAGCATTCCCAGACACGTATTAATCACTCTTACGCACTGTAAAATGTAAATGGATTTATCTATTTTGCGATAAATCATGAATGAACCTTACCCATGACAATAACCTACCATGTAAAATCCCTTTCAAAGCCCATATAGTATGCTTTATTGTAGTATTGGCTGGGAACAATGTGAGGTAATCGTCAAAGTAGGTTGGGATTGGAAAATCTGGGTAATGCGTATATGTGGTCCATGTTACACTCTCAGACCCATCCTGATGTCGTCTATGGTCCTTTGCGATGATTCTTAACCTAACGAAAGATGGCAAAATAGGAACATATGAATAATATAGCACAATAACGATATTTCCAAGTTGACTTCATTATTAACTTTCATGGTTAGGGGAAATTTCGATTTTATATCCATTATGAAACTTATTGACGTAAAGAGCTGCGCAATAAATGATGACGTAATCAACGAACCGCTCAATAAGTTATACGTAACTTATATACGGAAATAACATGGAATAATAAACATGCTATAAGTGAGTTGCGAAAGCTCTCTAGTAACGAGGACAATAGGTATAATAGTACAGATAATATACATACGTGTAGATGTGAATGTTTCTCACATTGTTTTCTGTTGTCATATATTCATACACTTCCTTTGCTGTGACACCTTTAATAGTAACACTGTAATCAATCTCAATTTCATTTTCTAAATAAATCCCTAATGCAAGAAAAACTATAAGAATCGACGTGAATCCAGTGAGAAATGTACAAAACGATACCATTTTGTTGTACGAATTTGCAAGCGTTCTCGCTTAAAGTACTATATGTAGGCCTAGTCGTTCTCTACTGAAAACATAATTATATTCTCATCTGGTTAAAAATGGGTTTCACATCAAAGAATCGTGTTTTGTTTTGACAGTCTACATAAAAACATTTTTATAGCATTAGTGAATAGTGAATGTCATTTGTAGACGATGGGCGCAAGCAGGTGTAGAATAACTTTAATGGAAATGGCTATAATATCCAAAGGACACCCATCACATTTTTCTGTTTATTCACAACATTCATTCGAGAATTTTTCGATTTCCAAGTTGATTAATATATCAAATGAATGTAACGTGTAATTTTTACAATTAGTAATCATCCACACGATGGAATATTTCTACAAAAATATAAGACCCCTAAAACATATTATACAACGTCTTATATTTTTTGTAAATCCAAAGAAGAAACGGTATAAGTTATTGCCGCAAAGTCCGTAGATTTGCAGGAGATCATATAACTGCATTGCATTATATAACCAATCACCACATCCAAGGTCATTCCTTATGTGGTTGTCAAAGTGACAACTGTTTGTGAATTTGTATCTATTATGTGACATGGTAGAAATTATTTGGCAATGTGTGAAAAGAATTGAAGCCCAAGACACAATGCATTGTGTAATGACCATTTCTTTCAGGCGTTGTTTCCTAAAACTAACACTCGATGCTGCGCATCTCGTGCAAATTTTAGAAGCAACACCTTCAAGGAATGGTCATTCCAGAATGCGCTTAGTCCAGGGCTAAAAATCCTTAAAGGCCGGTGTGAAAGAAATTATGGTCCCCTGGGGATTATGGTCCCCTTTCTTAAAGGCCTTTACTGTACCTGATTGTGGATACGGTAATAAGGGAAAGAGTTGTATTTGGTTTTAAAGTTGCTAGCAACTCCCATTAAAATATCAGGTTACATCCACATTTTAACATGGGACAGAAAGTCAGGATTAGTAAGTTTAATTAACAGGATTGCTTAATACTTGATTTTGATTGGCTAAGCTTGAGGACTTTTAAATTTGAAAAATGTTATTTCTGTTTTTAAATGTCTTGTCACAACCCAACAAAATGATGAAGTTAAAATCTAACTGCAGAATATGAACATCAAAACATTGAAATATATACATAGCAAAATTGGATTCAATACATTTTATCAATCAACATGAAATTTGAGAAAATTGACCAACTTTGTGAAAATATCAAAAATCCAGTTATTTTGGCTGTTCCATTAGTCTGCCTCCTATTTATACCCCATGTCCCTCTTTAGATAACTGCCTGTTACTTATATTATATAAAGGCAGAATATCAGGATATAAATGCAGCGACAGAAATGTTGATTGGGTAGCTGTAATTTGATAACTCCGTCTATTTAGCCCTAAGTCATTCTGATACTCATAGCATCTTTCTGTTTCACCATAATCATCGAATCATTTCAAGGTCGAGAAGAAATGTCATGGTTTATGCATGATGCCCTAAAGCCCATAGTAGCCGAAGTGCTTGAATCATAAATCATTAATTAAACTTACCTAAACCAGCTGATGTCATTTTTATGAGACCTCATTTGAGTTTGAAAAATTCCGGCGGATTCGGTTCTTTGGCAATTTTGGCCAAAATTGAACATCACCTGAAAAGTGCTCTTACTGGTGAAAAACTGCATGATTTTGTAATAATTTGTCGAAATCCCCGACCTTCTCCTGACTGCGGGCCTGAAGGCTTGATACTAAATATTTTATCAAGACTGATCCAACCGTGACTTGTCAAAAGTATAATTAGGAATATGAGAACGATGGCATTGGTTATTTAAAGCATGGGCTTTTAAAAAGAAAACGTAATGAGAGACCAATCCTACCATCTTTCTTTCGTCCATGTACTTAACCAACTTTAACTGTTTTTGCCAGACAGAGCCTGTGAATTACTTGAAACTTATTTAATAAAATGTCCACTTTGTTATAGCACTTAAAGGGACAAAGTGCTGAAATGAAGTCTCACTTTTGATCTTCATAGTGTTTCCAAAGGATAAATAAGTACCTGATCTTTCATTTGACACCAAAAATAGCTCAAACAGACCACATAAGACTTGACACTAGATCATGAAAAATTATTTTTGATCTATCAATTTATATGTGTCAAGTTTTTAGCAATGCCATAGAAAGGTGGCATTGTTGTTTGCATTGATTATCCATTCATTTTTGATAGGATTTTCAAGCATACGCCATCTTTTAATCCAAGAGTTATTTAAAACATACATTTTGTGAAAAGTGGTAATTCACTTTTTTCAATCTCTGAACTTCAAATGCCGTTTTCTATGCGAATAATTTTTTTTGCACTTCAGAATTATCCCAAATTAAAGTTTTTATCATATTTGATTGACTGCGTGAGTGACATGTCTCAAATAATATTTTGTCCTTTTTCCTTCAAAAATAGGCGCATTGCCTGTTTAATAGCATTCCCCGTAATTCCTTTGTTGCTCTAATATCTATAGTTTATTTAGGTGCATGACGCACGACCTTATCTCTATATATCCCATTAATAAAACAGGATGGTTTTGTATTTCTCACAGTGCAACTAGGTTACCTTAGTTTATCATTATTGCACCTATTAAATTCTATGTTTCCGTCAAAATATCATACCCTTCAAAATGCGCACTTGGCATTATCTAATGGCCAAATGTTCCACAAACGATGAAATCCAATAAACACTCCAAGCCTTGACTCTGAAAATGGCCATAAGTCAAAGCTGTTTCAAATATTAAAATTAGTTGAATATTAGATTCTTACAATAACTATCTTTCCGATTGAGAGTAACAGTTTCGTAATCTATTTTAAAGTAGAGACTCTCGAAGGAGCGTTTCACGCACCATATCAAGTGCCACATTTGCTTATCAAGTGCCATATTTGCTCGAGTAGCAACCAGGGGGATTCCCCAAAGTTCATCGATACCATTATCGTATCAATGGTGGCCTTCACATCAACAAGGTATTACATATAACTGAAGGAATGCACTGGTTTAAACAGTATGGACCTTCTTGGTAGACCCATTTACTAGTACTTAACGTACATGAATATGATATTCTCTCTTTAAAATCCGATGGCATATGATAACACAATAGATAATAGGCCTAGTATATAAATATGCAAAAGTTTATAACATTGCAACGTTCAACAACGTTTATGTTAAGTTATTTTGGGGTAGGGACGGGGAGACTGTTCTCCGAATGTCAGGTGCTGGTTTTAGGTGTCTGCTAAATACGTGCTGTGTTTTGCCATGCATATACTATACGCCTTCCATGTATTACATAATTCATTTTTATTTAATCATATTTGTTATTCATTTTATTGAACGTGTTCAAGAGATCAATAAACTCATACTCGAGCAAAGCGGGAGTTATTCGCCATAATTCTTTACGTTTTTGTTGATGTCTGCGACTACTGATCATTCTCACGTATGCTGATTTAATAGAGAGGCTAAGCTAGCATATAAAATCGAAACGCCAACCTATACATATGACCAATCGCCCATACAAATGCATCGCTTAAATAACTTATGTTGACCTTTAGGTTGTGAAAAACATTGCAAGCTTAAGCTCCCTACTTCGTACTTCGGTTCAAATCAAAGTTTTTTACAATTGAAATATTGTTCATTGAAACTAAGCTCATAATGCTTTATTAATAATCAGAAATGTACCACAAAGAAGTGGCATATCCCACCACAGCCTCCACGATATTCGCCGAATGAATAACAAATAAAATACTGATAGGTCTATATATTAAACAAATACTGGATGATCAGGAGCTGGATATGGCAGAATACCTATTCGAGAAAAAATATTGGGCAGCCGATGATAAGGGTAATTGTGATTGATTAAGTACATTTTTTCTTCTATTTTCCGCCAGTTTCAGATGTAAGCTTTAAGTAGTACTCCAGTTATTAAGAAATATAACTCTGAAGTGGGAATGTTGCAAAAACATTGAAAAAAATATCCGACCCTTTTTCTCGAAAGGGTCAGATATTAAAAAAATATCCGGCAGTTTTCAGAAAAGAGCAGAGTATTGCCAAATTACAAGCAACTAAGAACCAATCAGATTTTAGTATTTTAATGAGGTGCATAATAACATAAAATATACAAATAAGAAAATATTTGCATTTGCACATAACACCTTAAGTAAGTGGGTGGGAAAATATCCTCTATCAGATTTGCAAAAAATTAATTAAAGGTAGTGTTTCTAAAGTTATATAAAATGCACATTCTATTCATTTTAAAATATCTATGATTTCCCATTTTGGATTTTTCTTATTTTCATATATGAATATTAAGTAATGTGTATTTTGTATTTTTCAAAATTTTCTCTTTGAATCGGTGGTGCAAATACAGGTGTTTTTCGAGATACAGGTTGTTGGTTTCTGTCGCTTTATTTATACAGCTTCGTTTTAACCTGTCGTAAAGAAAGATTTTCTTAAGAAGGTTAGACTTCTTGATACGTATGCGCAATTAATTCTCTGGATTCTATGATGGGTCAATGTGCTCTGCAGTCAATAATTCCTTAATTTACTGACTTCTTAAGTCATCTTGCGCTCTGTATCCACTTTATTTTCGCGAAAGTCAAGCGCTCTGCAAATTAAACTGATTTCATTATGCCCAGCAGGCCCAAGGGAAGACTTAGGGGTCTTATATGAAATAAGGCGTTTATTATTCTTAAGATTATTAAACGCATTCATCTCAAGAAGTAAGCACTTATCAAGATATTTTATTACCATATGACCTTTATTTGATGGGATCTTAAAAATGCAATTGAGTGATCCTAGATGAATTCAAAAATAGTTATATTTGACGGTTTTAAATAAGGAATCTCGACAGTTGGTACATGTCTCAATTATCATTTTTGAAAAAGGAAAAAACATATAGTTGACTATTTCAGGCGATTGAGGAGTTCAGATGATAAAGGCAAGAATATAAGTATAAACGGTATTAGGGATAGTGTTTCAAGCGTGTGTAAAAATACTTTTTATTCTAGTCCAAAATATACTGGAAATATGTTTCAATTCTCAGTATACCTATGATTTAAGTGAATCTTAATTTGCTTGAAAATAATAACTGCACCGATGGAACCCAGAATTGAAAGC